TAAACATAGGAAATGTCTAAAACTTTTGGTTAATCTTCAGTGTCTTCATTACTTACAGATCCGTAGAAAAAAACAAAAATTTCAAATTATTTGGAAACTAGCGGCCCAGTGCATGAATTTGTGCACAGGGGTGGGGAGTTCCGGCTGACTTGGCAGATAGGAGCTGGGCCTGTTGGGGGGAGGAGGAGTCGGCCAGCCCCGCCCCCAAATGGGGTGGTGGGGGCCCATAAGGGGTGGGGCCGGCCAGGGGGAGGGGCCGTGGGAGGTTGGCCGTGGGCCCCGCTCCCTGATTGGGCTTGTTTGCTGGCCACAGTGGGCGTCATAGCGACCGGTCGTTATGGTCATTACAGCATTACAGTCGCTGGCTTTTTATATATATAATGTATAATGAATTATAGTAAAGTACTTATGCAAATATATTTATGCATTTTGGAAATATTTTGCGGGGAGGGGCCGGAGGGGGGTGGCCAGCTGCCCCACCCCCTGATCAGGCCAGTTCGCTGGCCGCAGTGGGCATCATTGCAATTGGTTGTTCTGGTCATTACAGCGTTACAGTCACTGGCTTTTCATATAAGTTGATAACCTATTCCTTTTGTGTACCCCACTGATAAGCATAAACAGCTTATACAAATCACTTTGAAAAACATTAAGGCCTTCTATTTGCACAAGAGGAACATCTTATTTTAATTTTTTTTCTTAATCCTGTCTTCTCTTCCTTAATTCTCCTGTTTTTGCTACTAACTTTTTAAGATCATCAGCAGTTTCTCTTAAATAACATTCTGTTACTCAGAAACCTAATCTCTTTATAGGACATCATGAATGTTTAGTTTGGGCTTAGAGTTTTCCAGCCTTGCTTTTTTCCTTTTTCTTCATTCAATGTATGACCCCATTGTTTCAGTTTCCAGTAAGTCTTGTCACTCCACTAATGAAAAAGAATGGAATCACACTGCCTTAGTTCCACATCTCATGAGAAAGAGTCAGCTGGCCATACATAAAGCTTAAAATTCATAAAGCTTCTTAAATAATAAGTTGTCAAAGTAACTTTGGCAGTGGTTGAATAATTTGAAAAATTAGATTTAAATACTTCCTGAGAGTGAGTTTAGGGAATCTTGATTTTGATCTTTCTGAAACAAATACTTATGAAAATGAAAAATCTTTTTTTAATATATTTTATTGATTTTTTACAGAGAGGAAGAGAGAGGGATAGAGAGTTAGAAACATCGATGAGAGAGAAACATCGATCAGCTGCCTCTTGCACACCCCCTACTGGGGATATGCCGCAACCAAGGTACATGCCCTTTACTGGAATCGAACCTGGGACCCTTCGGTCCACAGGCCGACGCTCTATCCACCGAGCCAAACTGGTCAGGGAAAAATGAAAAATCTTTAGAATAAAATTACATAAAACTATGGGCAAGAAACTAGGGAATGAAATACTCTCAAGGACACAAGGATACAGAGCAAACAATGCTATTACTTTTTGTGTAAATAAAATTTGAACTTTTCTTACATAAATTACTACATCCCCTCATCTTTAGCCAGAAGATTCTTTTAAAAGCATGTGTTATTATGTTTTTTCATACTGTGAAGACAAAAATAATGTGTAAGCTGGATATATCTATGTCACTCACTTCAGTTTTATTAGTATTTTTAATTAAATTTATTGGGATGGCATTAGTGCTTTCAAAAGTAATTTGCTGAAGAAAAAACTCAAATGACCAAGAAGCATTATCAGAAAATTATCAATCTCATTATTATTGTATTAAACAATTGAAAGTTCAAATAATATATCTTATTCTTTCTTTTTTTTAAAATATATTTTATTGATTTTTTTACAGAGAGGAAGGGAGAGGGATAGAGTTAGAAACATCGATGAGAGAAACATCGATCAGCTGCCTCCTACACACCTCCTACTGGGGATGTGCCCGCAACCAAGGTACATGCCCTTGACTGGAATCGAACCTGGGACCTTTCAGTCCGCAGGCCGATGCTCTATCCACTGAGCCAAACCAGTTAGGGATACCTTATTCTATTTCTTAAAGTTAAAAATAAAAAATTATAATACCCATACTCTTGCTGATACACTCAGCTTGGTACTTTTTAAAAAATTTACTGGAATGATATTGGTTAATAAGATTATGTAAGTTTCAAGTGTATATTCTATGACATATGATCTGTATACTGCATTGTGTGCCCACTACCCAAAGTCAAATAATCTTCCATCACCATATATGTGGCCCCCTTTACCCTTTACTATCCACAACCCATTTCTCTCTGGTAACCACCATACTGTTATCTGTGCCTATGAGTTTCAGTTTTATAGCCCACATTAGTGAAATTATATGGTTCTTTGCTTTTTCTAACTTATTTCACTTAACATGATATTCCCAAGGTCCATTCATATTGTTACAATAGCAATATTTCATCTTTCCTTATGGCTGAGTAGTATTCCGTTGTACATGTGTACCACATTTTCTTTATCCAATCGTCTATTGAAGAATACTTTGGTTGTTTCCATGTCATGGCGATGTGTATAATGCTGCAATGAATATAAGGATGCATATATCTTTGAGAATAAATATTTTCAAATTTTTCAGATAGGTAACTAGAAAAGGGGTTGCTAGGTCATATAATAACTCTTTTCTTAATTTTTTGAGGAACCACCATACTGTTTTCCATAGTGGCTGTACAAGTTTATATTTCCACAAGCAGTCAATGAAGGCTCCTTTTTCTCCACTTTTATTACTTGTCTTGTTGGTAACAGCCATTCTAACAGGTATGAGGTGATATCTTATTGCAGTTTTGATTTGCATTTCCTTAAAAGCTAGTGAAGTTGGGCATGCTTTCATATGTCTGTTGGCCATTTGTATGTCTTCTGAGAGAAGTGTCTGTTCAGGTCCTCTGCCCACTTTTTAATTAGATTGTTACTTTGTTTGGTGTTGAGTTGTATGAGTTCTTTATATATTTTGGATATTAACCCCTTGTCAGAGCTGTTGTTTACAAATATCTTCTCCATTCAGTTGGTTGCCTTTTGTTTTGTCGGCAGTTTGTTTTGCTGTGCAGAAGCTTTTTAGTTTGGTGTCCATTCACTTATTTTTGTCTTTACTTCCCTTGCTGGTTTTATTAGTTTTGTTTTTTTATGATATCCTTATAATGTGTGTTTGGGTATGCTCCTATCCATTTGCATGCACCCTTCTAAGATGTGAGCTTCTTTTCTTGAATCTTTTTTTGTTTGTTTGTTTGTTTGTTTGTTATATATTTTATTTTTTATGCTTTTTTTGCTGTTAATTTTTTTTCATCTTTATTGTTCAGATTATTACAGATGTCCCTCTTTTTTCCCCCCATAGCTCCCCTGCATCTGGTTCCCACCCCACCCCAGGCTCTTGCCACCCCACTGTCCGCATCCATACGTACTGCATACATGCATATAAGATCTTTGTCCAATCTCTTCCCGCACACCCCCACACCCTTTCCCCCTGAGAATTGTCAGTCTACTCCATTTCCATGCCCTTGATTCTATTACATTCACTAGTTTATTCTGTTCATCATATTTTTATTCATTTGATTTTTAGATTCACTTGTTGATAGATATGTATTTGTTGTCACTTTGTTGTTCATAATTTTTTATCTTTACCTTCCTCTTCATAGAGAATACCCTTCAGCATTTCATATAATACTGGTTTGGTTGTGATGAACTCCTTTAGCTTTTTCTTATCTGTGAAGCTCTTTATCTGGCCTTCAATTCTAAATAATAGCTTTGCTGGCTAGAGTAATCTTGGTTGTAGGTTCTTGCTATTCATATTTCTTGCCATTCCCTTCTGGCCTGCAAAGTTTCTGTTGAGAAATCAGCTGACAGTCGTATGGGTACTCCCTTGTAGGTAACTGATTTTCTTTCTCTTGCTGCTTTTAGGATTCTCTCTTTGTCTTTTGCTCTTGGCATTTTAATTATGATGTGTCTTGGTGTGGTCCTCTTTGGATTCCTTTTGTTTGGGGTTCTCTGTGCTTCCTGGACTTGTAAGTCTATTTCTTTCACCAGGTAGGGGAAGTTTTCTGTCATTATTTCTTCAAATAGGTTTTCAATATCTTGCTCTCTCTCTTCTTCTGGCACCCCTATAATTCGGATGTTGGTATGCTTTAAGTTTTCCCAGAGGCTCCTTACACTATCTTCATATTTTTGGATTCGTTTTTCTTTTTGCTCTTCCAGTTGGGTGTTTTTTGCTTCCTTGTATTTCAAACCTTTGACTTGATTCTTGGGATCCTCTAGTCTACTTTGAATCTCTGTATATCATTCTTTATTTCAGTCAGTGTATGCTTAATTTTTGATTGGTCCTTTCCCCTTTTTTTTTTCATTCTCACTAAGATCCTTGAAGGTCTAAGTTCCTCAGAGGTTTCTAGAAGATTCTTGAGTAACCTTATAACTGTGGTTTTGAACTCTATATCCAATAGTTTGCTTTCTCCCATTTCTTTTGTGACATGTTTCTTTATCTCCGCATTTTGGCTGCTTCCCTATGCTTGTTTCTATGTATTGGGTAGCTGCTAAGTCTCCTTAAGTTGATAGAGTGGCCTTTGTAGTAGGTGTCCTATAGGGCTCAGTGGCTCAGGTTCCCCAATCACCTGAGGTGGACACTCTTGGTGCACCCCTTTGTGGGCTGTGTGCACAGTCTTGTTGTAGTTGGGCCTTGATTGCTATTGGTATCACTGGGAGGAATTGACCTCCAGGCCAATTGGCTGTGAGGACCAGCTGTGTCTACAATGGAAGAGCTGCTGTGCAGGAGACACCCTTATGGGGCAGGACTTGCTTTGGTGCTCACTGAGTCTGCCTATTGAGTGTGTCACTTATGGATGTGAGGAGTTGAAATCTGGTATCTGACCACTGAGTACACTGGCTCCTGGATCTCCAAGGAAGAGCAAAGTTAGCCACTGCCTGAGTCCACCCAGCAGGAGCTACAGCGAGATCTGCAGATTTCTCCTCTTTGTTTGGGGTTTGGAAGTTTTGGAGCTCTCTGACCCAGCTGCAGTTTGTTAGGTTAGGCTGCGAAGGAAAGGCAATTCATATGCAAAGGCCGATGCACACAGCTTGGATGGGGTTGTAAATTGGGTGGGGTGGGGTCTCAGGGAGTCACCAGGGCAGAGCAAATAGTGATGGCTGTCAGTCAGCTGTCTCCACGTCTCTGGGTCTCCGCATCTCTGCCTCCCCGAGTCCCTCCCCCCCCACAGTAACAATGATCCCTGTGGGCAGCTCTTTGAGAAAGCCACCCTCGCTTTCCAACCTGATGCCAGACAGTCCAGTTTCTCCCCGTAGGAGTCTGGGTCCCCAGAGTCTCGCCGGAAACTGGAGTTCAGAGCAGTCGGGAGCTTATATCTCCCTTCCGATTGAAAAAAACAGCACACCTAGTTGCCAGCCCATTTTGTGCGCCTCCATACCTCTGCTCTTGGCGCCTCCGCACCTCCTACCCAGTCTCAATGCACTTTTTTCTTTCCTTCTAGTTTTAGAACTTCTACTCAGCCAGCTTTCCAGCCTTCCCGTGGTTCTGGATGATAGCCGTTTTGTCTTTTAGTTGTAGTTTTGGTGTGGTTGTGTGCGGTAGCACGTATAAGTGTATACCTTATGCCGCCATCTTGGTTCTCCCTGTTACTATTATTTTAATAGTTACATCCTATTAATTCCTATATACAGAATTACCTTATCAAAGAGTAATCACTTCTGATATGATACAAGGCCCTTAGAAAAGTTCAACTCCATTTACGCCCTTCCTAACATCTTTTCTTATTGTACAATATTTTGTTTATTTTTTTAAACACAGAATAGGCTCTGGCTGGTTTGGCTCAATGGATAGAGCATCGGCCTGGGGACCAAAGGGTCCCAGGTTCAATTCCAGTCAAGGGTACATACCTTGATTGCAGGATACTCCCTGGCCAGGGCCCTGGTTGGAGTTCCTATGGGAGGCAACCAATCGTTGTGTTTTTCTCACATCGATATTTCTCTGTCTTCCCTCTCTCTTCCACTCTCTCTAAAAATCAATGGAAAAATATCCTCTGGTGAGGATTAAAAAAAAATAATAATAATAAATAAAAAGTTACTAAAATCAAAACAAACAAAAAAACAGAATAGATGTTTTTATGAATCCTTCTTCAGTCAACATTCACTTACATTGCCCATGCATTATTACTTTCCTTGTTCTTTATTCCTTCTGGGTTTTCATTCTTCTAAGACCATTTTCCTCTTGAAGTACATCCTTTAGAATTTCCATTAGTTCAGTCTATTGGTGACAAACCCTCTTAGATTTGTATGTCTAAAATTATATTTATAATGAACAACATAAACTGATAAACAAAAACAGATCCAGAGATAGAGAAACATCAATCCGACTGTCAAACCTCAGAGAGAAGGCAGGGGAGGGACATTTTCAAAGATAGACCACATACTGAGACACTGGCAAAGTCTCTTCAAATTCAAGAAGATAGAAATCATATCAAGCATCTTCTCAGATCACAATGGCATAAAACTAGAAATCAACTACAATAAAAACAATAAATAAATAAAAAACATGGAGGCTAAATAGAATGCTATTAAACAATGATTGGGTTACCAAGGAGATCAAAGAAGAAATAAAAAAGCATCCTGGTAACAAACAATAATGGAAAAACAACAATCCAAAATCTATGGGACACAATGAAAGAAGTCCTGAGAGGGAAGTTCATAGCTCTACAGGCCTACCTCAAAAAACAAGAAAAAATGGTAATAAATTACCTAACCCTACAACTCAAAGAATTAGAAAGAGAGCCTCAAGAAAAGCCCAGAGCAAGCAGAAGGAATGAAATAATAAAGATCAGAGCAGAAATAAAAGACATGAGGAAAAAAAATACAAAATATCAATAAAACCAAGATCTGGTTCTTTCAAAGGATAAACAAGATGGATGAACCTCTAGCCAGGCTCACCAAGAAGCAAAAAGAGAGGACCCAAATAAACAAAATCAGAAATGAAAGAGGTGAAGTAACATCTGACCCCACAGAAATACAAAGGATTGTAAAAATATATATATATATTATGAACAACTCTACTCCAACAAACTGGACAACCTAGAGGAAATGGACATATTCAAAAATACAAGCTTCCAAAACGCAATCAGGAAGAATAAATAAACCTGAATAGGCCGATAACTACAGAAGAAATTGAAGCAGTAATCAAAAATCTTCCAGCAAACAAAAGCCCTGGCTTTACAGGGGAGATCTACCAAACATTCAAAAAACTAAAATCTATCCTCCTCAGACTATTCCCAAAAATTGAAGAGGAAGGCACACTTTCAAGCTCTTTCTATGAAGCCAGCATTACCCTAATTCCAAAACCAGATAAAGACACCACAAAGAAAGAGAACTACAGGTCAATATCCCTCATGAACATAGATGCTAAAATCCTCAACAAAATTCTAGCAAATCAGAACCAGCATTACATTAGAAAAATCATACATCATGACTAAGTGGGATTTATTCCGGGGATGCAAGGATGGTACAATATCTGCAAATCAATAAATGTGACACATCACATTTACAAATTGAGAGAAAAAAATCACATAATCTTATCAATTAATGCAGAAAAAGCATTTGACAAAAATCCAACACACTTTCTTGATAAAAACTCTCAGCAAAGTGGGAATAGAAGGGTCATACCTCAAAATAATAAAAGCCTTATATGACAAACATACAGACAACATCATACTCAACGGGCAAAAAGTAAAACCATTTCCCCTAAGAACAGGAACAAGACAGGGATGCCCACTTTCACCACTCCTGTTTGACAGAGTACTGGAAGTGCTAGCCATAGTGACCAGACAAGAAGAAGAAATAAAAGGCATCCAAATCGGAAAAGGAGAAGTAAAACTGTCCTTATTCGCAGATGACATGATACTATACATAGAAAACCCCAAAGACTCCATCAAAAAACTACTAGACCTAATACATGAATTCAGCAATGTAGCAGGATACAAAATTAACACCCAGAAATCTATGGCCTTTTTATACACCAATAATGAACTCACAGAAAGAGAAACTAAAAAAA